TCCAAGGTATATGTATAGATGGTAGCGAAGCTTCCATAGAAGCCCATAGGCGCAAAAGATGGCGGCTCATGGGGCGCAGCGCCATCTGTTAGTTGCGCGGCATTGTCATTAGTCATGCTCGCCCGTGACGTACAGGAAGTTACGCTTTATTAAAAAGGAACAAAGAAACACGATATGACGCATTTTCCTCAAGATTGTGACGTCACGATTGTTTTCGGCGCGAAATTTAAATGATTTTCGCCGGTGGCGCGAAATTTAAAGTTTTTCAGATGTTCTACATGCCTGCTACCGTCCTTCAAACCTTGCTTCACGCCTAATAGCCTTGTTTGTATCAGTCACTCCCATGTAATCCCTTTTCGAAAAGAACCAGTTTTTTATCAGTTCTGGGAACCACCAATAAGTTACTATATTCTTCAACTAAGCAGTGTGTTACAGCACGCCTGTGAAGGCGTACTTATCATTGTAACAACGGCTTGTTCGCCAAAAAGACAAAAAGGCACAAGCTTGGTTTACACAGTTTATTATATACAAACTTACAACACCACCACTGAACACTTGAAGATAGATATGGCATTAAAAACGAAGTGAAATAAGGTCTGGACAACTCTATGCACGCACTTAATACTCTCAACGGGAGGCACGTTTACGCATTTATCTTGTACTGTTCACGTTGAGAGCTCGTAACTAGATTTAACTATATCAATCACAGGTGGAGGTGCGGGGCTATGCATGTCTTTTGCATTTGAATGTCCACATGAATTAATGCTTCAAGAGATTGAAAATTGAGATGTTTCGTTATAGCACATGCGCTCGTCACACACATTTTGTGCTCCACAGCTTGGCTATTTATATGAGGATTAGTACGCAGGAAACTGCCACAAAATGACAGGAAAGAAAGCATTAGAAAAAGGATAATAATTCGCTTTGTGGCAAATTGTTAGCACCATACAGACTCACTGAGTTACTTTTCATCGCAGTTTGATATACCTTTGTATACCCCATACAACCAAACATTAATCCAGGTTTGTCTCAAGTCGTGCACAATGCACAAGAAAACATCGAGGTCAACGCTTCATCTCACACACTCCTCAATAATGCACAGGGTGTGTAGGGTGTCTACCAACCTGGAAAACTTAAAATATTTAAGTAAGGCGGATTATATTTAAAGAACAGGGTAATATAAAGGGAACCGTAAGAAAGTTCCTAATCAGTAAAAATGATAAGCGAAAGCTGAACGGCAGCGTGCAACGAAGCACGATGATTGCATAAGGATTTCACGGTGGTGCCGCTGCACTGAATAACGTTGCCCGACACGTCACTAGGCAGCGCAGGCCACTAGGCACTCCCTGAACCGAAGTAACAGTCAACATTTTATCGAATTAGAGAGGAAAACCTTGGGAAAATTGGGACATTTGGAATAAGTGATTTGGTAGACACCCTGTCCCATCATTCAGTGAGAAACGTCATCTTGCACTATACAGCGAGGGTCGAATGAATCTAACATATTTCACTTAGAACGAAAAAATTAGTTTTGCATGCTGCGACACTGAAATTTTGATTTTGATTCATTAAAAATTCAAGTTCATCTATCTGAACCTATACGTTGATTGCACTGTCTGAGCATGCTGTTGCAACCGGGCGATGAGGAAGAAGAGAAGCGGCGGGAGCTCATGCATTTTGTAATTTTTATCAGTCTGAAAAACGAACAGTAAAGGAAAAGGTCGCACCGACCGATTTGTCTAGCGTAATTGCCTTCGTATTCCTTGGTTCCTCAACATATGGTGCCGAAACCCGGAAGTGTCCCGCATTACAAGGGCCCAAGCTACACGGCGGATAGAATTTCAATCCTGCAGCTGCAACGGAATTCAGCAGTTACTTGGCGGGAGCAGACCACTGGGAAAAGAACAGCGACGGAACCTTGCCAGGCGACCATACGGCCTCGTAAATACAAATAGTCAATGGAAAGGCTGAAGGCTAGGCGGTCGGCTCGGCGGGCACAAAGCACTAGGATAATGAACGACGCCAATCGAATTCTACAGGATCCCAGCCCCGACCTAGCAAGAGTGCGTTCGATCAAGGACAGACCAGCAATGCAGAGCTCCGACTACTTGACGGTGAGATAGAGCCGCTAATTCCAATCAGAGAACTGGGAAGTGAGTGCACCGCCACTGCAGGGGAGAATCGTAGAGACGTGCCCCGGAACTGACGGAATTGTTCGTGCCTGTCTCGTGAAACAGCAAAACGGTACGCTCATAAAGAGACCCGCGCAGAAACTTTATTTGCTGGAAATTCGTCCAAGTCAACTTCAGGCTCAGGAGGATGTTGCAACCGGGCGATGAGGAAGAGAAGCGGCGGGAGCTCATGCATTTTGTAATTTTTATCAGTCTGAAAAACGAAAAGTAAAGGAAATGGTCGCACCGACCGATTTGTCTAGCGTAATTGCCTTCGTATTCCTTGGTTCCTCAACACATGCGAAACAAACTTTTGCACTTTATTTAAAGTATGATACATTCATTTGGTCATCGCAGTAGACAGTTTCGGCAAAGCGTGTGATAATTTAGAGGTATGTACTCGCACAATCCGGTATGGCAGCGTGATCGTTGAATGCAACACGTAAGACAAACTAAAGGGACTTCCTGTGGGCATAACGCAAGTGTTGTCTCAGCTGCACAGCCTCTGGACTCGTTGCTGGGTTTTGCGCCTCACAGCTGCATCAAGGAGCTCAGTATTTTGTTTACGGGCGAACCAATGAAGCCTCACCCTTGTAAACAAAGGAAATAAATCACCATAGACATCCTCACTGCAGAGTGTCAGCAGCTTTTCGACCTTCTCATGAAGAGTGATGCACAACGTCTTCCCAACGCCTTCTTTCAAAACAAGACTGTCAATTGACGCCACAAAAACCTTCTCACAAGCTTGAACGAAAGAAACAAAGCAAGGTTAGGGAACCGAGAGGCTTCCAAAGTATCCTTCAGCCGTTCCTTTCACACTCAAATACAACAACACTTGGCTGTCATCAGAAAAAGTGGCATTCTTGATTTGCAATTTACATTGCTGAGCCACGTTTTGACATGTGTGATATTTGACAAACTTTATTACAAGCCATCCAGCAAAGTAAATCATGTTGTTAAGTGATAATAAAGTGGGATAACTACAGGATGTGAGATCAGCTGCACATTGTGGAAGTGAGCTTCCTAGACTAAATGAAGCTGAGGGAGCTGAGAAACCAACTGGAGGAGCCGCTAAAAGAGTTGCCATGTCCTCTTCGCAGTTGCTCTTGTCAGACAGTTTAAACAAGTTGCTAACTAGGAGATGTCTAAAGGCTGCCTGAAACTGCCCGCAAGAGGAATTGGTGTTCGCACCAGACTTTGACCTTATTACGGAGAATGTGTTTTCGAGTGCATCTTGGTTGAGATGGCGAGTCAGGAGGTATCTGAAACCATACTCAGATGTCAGGTGCTCACAAATCAGCATAATAGACCGAATGGTCAAGGAGAAACCGCGAATGCAAGCAGTCTGCCGTGGGCACCCAAGAACGGTAAGGCTTTCGAACATATGAAGGCATTCTTTCAGAAACTCCTTGTGAACAGAGCCTTCGTGCATTGCAGACACATATGCACTCTTCCTGCGTTTCTGTGAGCTGTTCAAGCTATGAAAAAGACGATCCATTTTGTCAATAAACCGGGCCGTGTGGATACCTTCAACTGGCAGTTGCTGGAAAGTTACCTTGGCAAACATTGCAGCAGCACAGTCATTACTGAATATTTGCGCTGCTAGTTTCACTGACATTTTGGAGGCAAAAGTCAAATTAAAATGCTTCTCACTGAGCCTTGGCATGGATCGGATTTCAAGCTGTTTGTCTTTTTCGTAAGCTTCCCTGAGGAAAGAGCTTCTCAAAGTGTGGTCCCCAACTTAAAAATTGTACTTGAAGAACATATTTCGTAAGCACTTCAGCAGATGTGGAACATCAAATAGAAAAAAGGTGGCTTCTCATTCACAGTTACGTAGGGCTTCTCAAGGGTAACAAGGCCATTAAAAAGAGCAACATTTTGATTGCCTTGGTCACATACGACAGCTACTGGCTCCAGGCCGGCTTTCACAAGCCAATTGTGGCACTGGAAAAGAAGGTCACGCAAAATGTTGGCAGGTGTTCCGCCATGAGCAAACAAATAGCCAAGTGGCTGCTTCCATGGTCTGCGAATGCCTTTATCCATAAACACAAGAGCTTTGTTTGCAAGGTTATAGCCTCTTCCAGTGTTACTTTCTTCGAGCCCTTCAAACCTGTCCACAGAGGGGTTGTACGAAAGCTCTTTCGTGACGTGCATGTCGTCAAAGGCAATAATGCATGGCTTGTCTTCTGGTGAAAAAGAAGCTGCACGTCTTTTGACTAGTTCGAAAACTTCTGGGTAAAAACCAACCCACAGAGGAACACGCTGAAGCCAAAGCTGTAGCGACCTAACGGATGGGAGCCTCAACAATTGCCTACAGTACCGGTAACCCTTAGGGCTGTGAAAGTACAAGCCCAAGTCAAAGGCTTTGTTCTGGCTGCAGCACCGCCTACCGAACCTGCTCGCATTGGTCATCTTCAGCTGAGCTTCCACAAGGGCAGCAGCGCTGGAGAGACAAGGCTACGTACCCTTTCAACTATCTCAGTGACAGTCAGCATATGACGCCGTCGCTGCAGTCGTTGCTGGAGTCTCTTGTTATGTTTCCGAAGCTGTCGAAGTCTGGCCCTCAACACGTCCATCTTCCCCTTGCCCTCGGTGCGGGTGGCACAGGACCCTACAAGGGGAAAGCAAAAGCAATTATGAAACATTTCGAGAAATAATGAAATAAACAATGTGCCTCACTGTAGAAAATGTGGAAGTACAAGTAAATTTTGTGCATCATGACGGACACCTACGTTGGTGAGGAACCGCAGAAGTCGAAGACACCGACGCATCATAATCGGTAGGGGAAGGTTTAGGTGCCCACACATCGTTTCCTCCAGACGGCGGGCGATGTCCATCCATCGCGCCTTGCATCGCGTATGTGTGATCCACTACAGGAAACAAAGTGACAGAGTGGTTGCAAAAAGCTGAACCAGCTATGACTGGTCAAGTACTACGCCACAAAGTAATCTTCAAAGACTGTCCTAAACAACGCACACTATGAAAACTTACCATGAACTCTGGTTGGAGGGCTAGTCTTCGTGCCAGAGGTCAGAGCCGTGAGACTGCTCCCCACATCTGCAAAGCAATGACGAGGCAATTAAAAAATCTGTCAAAAACATCAGTCATTGTATTGTTTCAGGAAATTCCTGCGGCATGTGACAAGCTGTAGCCCGTTGCAACCTAAGAACGAAGGGCGAGGGTAGGACGGGCCGGGGAGGAAGAAGCAGACGGAACGCTGGAGAAGAGAGAGGAAAACCTCCTTCTCTCTTTAGCGTTCCGTCTGCTTCCTCCTCCCCGGCCCGTCTTACCCTCGCCCTTCGTTCTCAGGTTGCAGCGGACTATAGAATAAAAACATGGTAATACATGTTTTACATGTTTCCCAAAGATGGCTACTACACGACAGTCCGAAATATATAAGAAACAAGGCCTGCAACACTTCTCCGCCAATATGCAATTGCTTTTACCTTCTTCTGTTGTGTGGTGCGTGTGACACCGTGATGATGTGGGCCCATCGGTGCTACTGCTGCTGGCCAGTGTGGGCTCGCCCTCGCTAGTCAATTGGCCAGGGCTGCTGCTCTGGACGGCATCTCCGGCACCTATGCAATATTAAGCACACACGTTATGTACACTAAAAAAGTTCCCTGTATCTGCATGTAAAATACTTTCTGAATAAGCTCATCTTTTCAAAGTTGGTCAAAAGACCAACTTTTCAGAGAGCTGCGTGTAGTGAAGATATCTGATCACTATGCTTTCAGACTTAGCATAAAGTATAAACAGGAATGTCGCGAGTTAGACAGTTTTTTTTATTGTCATTATCATCACTTCGAAAAAAAGCTGCAACATATTCCACCCGTCGCTGTGATGTTTGGGCAGTGGAAACGTGACGAACAGATTATGGCCTCCAAATGATTAAAATAACCTTGCCAACATTCCTGAACACTCTTAAGGGCTCTAATTTTGATGTCGAACCTTCCAATATGTGTGCGCTTAAGGATGATTTTCTTTCTAATTAAACAATCCTTACTGCTGTTGATCAGCTAGAAGATTTTGCTTTTGTTTCGTTAATTTTTTGTTGTTAAGTATTTTGTATTATATAAATTCTTGTGTATGACTTCCCCAATGCTGTGTATCTGTGGGGGGCTGAGGACCAGTCAAGCTGCTTGCACAGCTTTTTTCCTCAGCTCCCACCATACTTGTATGGTAAAATAAAGTCATTATTATTCTCAGTAATAATGAAAACAATATTTCGTGCTTACCCTCAGTGGTCAAATATGCTGGTATTGCATCACGACGCAGCCTTCCTCGGTAAAGAAATGCAGAGGGTTTGAAGTGCCTGGAGCATACCGCCCGTTCCCGCAGCTACTGTGGTGTCTTGTTCTGTAGGCTTGTGTTCCGGCAGAACTCAACCCAGACCCTCCGCCTGAATGTGAAGCAGTGTATTACTTTACATACCCTTGGCTAAAGTGGACATTTAAGATAGAAAAGATTACACAATAATGTTGGCGATAAACTAGTCACATCATTGTACTTGGTCTCTCGTCTGGGTCCAGCGAACGCCATGAGCGCGGAGCACACCTCTGTGCCCGTGAGGTTAGATAGGTTCACAACGCTGACGATTACATTACTAGATTCCCGAGCACGACATCCACAGCAAGTAGACCTGATAGTCGCCAGCACGTTAGAGGGACGACACCAAACACGTTTCAAGCAGAAAGGACGTTTTAGTGTTATTCACACTATAATATAAAAGTTCGTTAAAACTGAAATGTTCAGTCATTGTTTCTTATTAGGTTTTTGGGGTCACGCAGCCGTTCAGCAGAGGTCAAGCAAAGCCGCCACTAATATCTAAGATTAGTTTCGTCTCGCGAAGCTTGGAACGGAGACTGGGCCCAAAAAAGCTCGATCAACGGGTGCTTAATACTAAATGAGCTTGCATGAGGGCCCATAGAAGAGGTCAAGAGCTTACCAGACATCACCGGACAACTGACGTCAGGGCATCACACATAGTTGCAGCCGACACAGCTGCTACAAGCTTCACCTTGCAGCGTCTACAGGAAAACGATGGAGTGTGATGCCAGCGGTGCAGTCATCACTTGGGCATCGCGCTACCGCGCAGCGCCTCTTTACATGGGGCGGGCGCATCGTCCCGACGACAGAGCCTTGAACGCGCCCGTCCGGCGCTCGACGACAAAAGCAACAGAACGGCGCAATAGGATCCAACTAGCACAGACCGTTCGAGGGAAAACTTAAGACCACGAAGTCGTTTTAAACTGTTGCAAAAAGTGAAAGTTCGACGGGAGCTACAGAAATATAGGCACACTGGCGAACGCAAACAATGCAAACACGAGGCGTATCAGGACTGCGAACTTCTGCCGACGGTGAAAAATAGCGACGTTGTAGAAGTCGCAACAAGTATGCACGACATAATACATATTGAACATAACCTGAAAAATTCACCACTCTAAACATGTTGAAACTAAGTTATTATTAATAAATAATACTTTGATTTAAAGTCAACTATATCAGACACTGAAAGTGTGTCTTTAATATTTTATCAACTTAGTGTTTGGCCGCGCAAAACACAGTCGCGCTGCGGTAGCGCGGCCTCCAGGATGATGACGCTAACGATTGGTTTTGGGCCGCTTTTTTGCTCCACTTTCGCGACCTATATGAATTGACCTTGCAAGGTCTTCGTTACATGTATTTCAATATGGAAATAGAGGGATAAAGCTTGCACTCGTGTGAAAGCCTAAAAATTGCCTACCCGATAGATTTTATTATCTATCACGTGGCTCCATCTGTGAGCAACCTTTCATAGTTATTTCACAACCGATGTCATCTTGTCCGACTTTTCAGCGACAGACTACTTGCATGACCCCGTTTCCTTCTGTCGTGTTCAAGGTTTCGGGGTGTTCGCTGCGCAGATTATCTATATTTATGTTTTGTTTGGGGAGGTAGGCACGGTTACGAGGAAATCACGCAGTCATCGTTTTTGGAAGCGCCGTGTGGCGAAGTGCAAGACTGGCAACTAAATTTTTTTTCTGTAGCCGTATTTTTTTTCTTTGTGACGTTGCCCATTGTCTGCTCGAGTCAGTGGCGGAGCCAGGTAATATTTCGAGGGGACCTGATGTCGGTGTGGCGTCCATGACTTGGGAGGTTGGAAAATTAGGGGGGAGGTGTGGGGGGGGGGGGGGGGGGGGGGGGCGGGCTGAAGCCCCATAAGACCTTTCCATGGCTACGCCTCTGGCTTGAGTCTGTCTTTTTCCTTTTACATTTTTTTATACCACCGTCACCTTGGTTGCTCAGGCCTCGCACTATTTGATCCAGCCATGTGCATGTTACTTAGAAAAATGCAATTAAGTTGAGTTGCTGAGTATTGGCCTCAAAACTAATTTTAGTACAGTTGAAATTACTGAGATGAAAAGTAATTGAGTAAATTGCTAACTACCGTAAAGAAGCAGCCAATTACTTTTGAAGCTACTTTTATTTTGTTATGGCAACAAGATAGTGCATAGGTTTTGATCCGTTAGCGAAATTCTGCCAGCCAAATATAAAGCGGCTAGTGTTTTAACGGAAGTACTTTAATAGCTGGTTCTGCTTCTGCGTAGCTAAATGTTTTTTCCTTTAGTTTTTTGGTCAATAAAATACTACGGATGTCTAATTTCTTTCAGGTTTAGCACTGACTGAGCTTGATTTTGCAGATTTTTGTTGAGAGAATCGTAAAGTACATCTAAAAGTACTTGAAGTTAGATACAAAGTGTTAGATACAAAGTTAATTAAAGGTTATGTACTTCAAGTAAAGTAGTAAGTCCACCGGGTGAAGTTACTTGAAGTAAAATACTATGCACTTTCAAAGTACAAGTAATTTTTAACACAATCTTATATAATGGCCTTTCATCCCCTTTACAGTTGTTGTTGTTGTTTTCTTAAGTCGTATGCGTTGCTCTTGGTGGAAATTAAGGTTCATCCGTTTTTTTTTTTTTGAAATACCGGCAAATATTGGATAAAGTCGCCACAAAGTAGTAGATTTACTTTCGCAGGCGAACTATTTAACACACTCAACTTTAGGCACCTATTTGTATAGGTTCTAAAGCCGCCATTACTTCTTTCTGAGAAATGACCTGATGAAGTCTCGAAAGACGATATATTTGTACAAAGCAGGGTGTCGAACCGGAACCGAACCGAACCAAAAACCGGAACCGAACCGGTATTTTTTCCGAAACTGAACCCGAACCCGAACCGTTATATTGTTATCGCGATGAACCCGAACCGGAACTGAACCGGAAAAAAAATAACAGTTACCGGCTCATGTCCAAACGCTTCGGCCACGCGCTGTTGACAATGAATGCGCTATCAATGCCATTTGTTTTTTAAGTGTCGTTAACTGACACACACCTCGCTTACATATTTTTCTTCTCCACTCAGTCTTAGGAATATAAGCGCTGCATCCATGAATCTTGACAAACGCTGCATCCATGCATCTTGACATAGGAACCATGCAGTATTGCGCTGGTCGCGGCTTGCACGGAGGCAAAAAAATCGAAAGGCTGTGAAAAAAAAAAAAAAAAATCGCGTCACGGGATTTCCTTTTCCTACAATCTCGTAAATCCTAAATGCTGCTGTGTGCGCATTTCATAACAGATTTCTAGAACGCGCGAGTTCTTGAAGCTTGCTTTCATCGGAATGAGAAAAGAAAAGGCTGTGGAGTTTGATAATAATGCATCCGGTTTCGTATAGCCACTTAGAAGCTGACATATTTGTGAGACAGCGAACTCTTCTATTTTAATATTTATCCCATTACGTCCTTCTGGCGTTGCGTTCGGTGAAGTGTTTTTCATATTCCGTATCTTGTTTAATGAAAACTTCTTTAAGGGTCTAATTTCAGTTACCGAAGGCTAGTTCAAAGAAAGAAAGCTGTTTTTTCTGCCACTGTTCCTTCAGTTGCTTACACGCCGAGGTGGCGGGATAGTCAGCGAGTTCTACTTGTAAGTGGGTTTGTAAGGAGGTCGCGGATTTTACAGCTACTGCGTCGGACCCAATTAGATGAAGTCCGAATGCGTAAACGTCGGTGAGGTAACCTTTGAGTGCACATAAAGAAACCATTCCTGGTATAAATCCCTGAGCCTTACACTACGATGTATCCCGTTTCGTATGTGCTGATTTCAGATGTTTTATTTGTAATTTATTTTGATGTTGCAATTTGTCATTTATAATTTCCGAACCGGTTCGCGAACCGGTTCAGCGCCCCGAACCGGTTCGCGAACCGGTTCGCGGATCGAATTAATCGAACCGGAACTGAACCGGAACAAAATAAATTTACCTGAACCTGAACCGTAACCGAACCCGTATTTTTTTTGGTTCGACACACTGGTACAAAGTAGAGAATAATTGATGTCATTGACACGCCTTGGGCCGCTCGAGTTCATACGAAAATCTGGTATTCCTCCGCGGTCTCTGAATATTCTAGAGGCCGGCATCCTCTCCCTCTGTATGACACTGGCCAATCGGTCTCAACCACGTCAGCGTCACGTCGTGAGCCCGTGCCGAATGAACGCCTGGGCGCTAGCCCAAACATCCGCCAATCACTTAACGCTCACGTCGGAATTCCCCGTATAGTAGCATATGTTAAGCTGGCCGCCACCCCGGCGCCGAGCCTTGACCTTTCGAGCAGAGGACGTGCACACACGGTCCCCGACAACCGAGGTGGTGCGAGGACTGGGCCACCCTCACGCGGCAGCCGTCAAGCCGTCGGAACACCCGCGCGATGTCTATACTACCGAGCGCATTCGTCTAAATAAAAATTAAAAATACGCTTTCTTTTATCCTTACAATCCTCGAGACCAGCCTTCTAGAAGTCAGCAGCCTATGGCGTCCCAGCGAAGATCACTGTCGCGAAGACCGCTGCTATGCTTGGAGCTCTTCACCCTCTTCAATCGCAACGTAAACCTCCCAGCCCTGTACACAAGGTTTATATAAACCATCATAACCATTTTTTAATCATCTGTACAATCCTATCTCAACATCGTTGGACGTGGCACCGCGGGCCTTCCCTTTATGGGCGCTTTGCCTTTCTCAGGCACCGCGGCTCTCCCGAGCCGAAATACATATCACTATCACTATCACTATAACTATCATTATCAGTATCACTATCACAGCAAAGGAAAATATTTCGTTCCGACACCTTGGTTTGTAGTGGTCGTTGATGGCTCGGCCGATGTTTATGTTGTCTGCCTGCCGATTATGCGGCAGAGGTTCGTCATATGGCACCATCTAAGTTCAAAGGGGTACGAAAAGGAAATTCCGGGGCTCATTTTATTACCTATGTATATACTAGAACCAC